TAGCAACGAAAATAATTAGGTTTTCTGGGGGATCGCCAAGACACAAGAAACTGTATTAAAGGTTCGCGGCACTAGAAAGGTTGAGAACCATTGCATTAGTCTGTGTCTAGCACTCGGTCTGTTCGTGTATTGTTTTCGTTTGTGATCACCAGTTTTTTTTTTCAAATTTTGTATTCAGACAGTATTCGTAAATTTTTTTATGTGCAAAGTGTAATGACCTATGCTAAAATGTCTTCGAAAAACAAAAAAACAAGAAGACAATCATAAAAGAGAAAAAATAACTGTTGCAATGAAACGTAAGTAAAATCCTTGAAAAGCGAGAACAAGGTGTGAGCCTGGCTATTCGTGCTACACATTTATTCAATGATAATGTTGTGACACATTTTCGTCAAATTTTGAAGCATCGGCAAAAACAAATGTCTTTAGACAGTTTTCTAGTTAAAAAGGATTAATTATGTGTCATAAATGCATATTTTTATTGACGTTTTTTTTCATTTCAAACTAAATTGTATTCTAAGTTGTTACACCCCTTAACAATTCATAAAGAATGTTATTTGAATAAATGTCAATAACAATTTTTGAAAAATTATTATCTTTTCAGCATGGAACGCATTATCATATTTTACATTGTTTTGTGTGGGGAAAATTGTTTCGTTAAGCCAGTGTTTCCCTTAACGAGCAAGAGTCTGGGACGAATTAAACTGGTTATGAGAGGTTCCACTGTAATGATCACCTTCTTCAAAGGAAGATGTTCAAGGTAGCTGTGACTTGCAGTGCTCTTAAACCGGTCAAATTTGTCTGGATGATACTGGAGGGTGTTTTAATTCTAACACAAAATATAAATGACGTTTTCAAGCTTGGGGGTTAGATAAAGAAAGGAAGAAAATAAAATCAAGAATTTAACAAACACACATTTTTCAAACATTTTTCAGACATTTTACTTTAGGTTCTAATTTTTTTATTTTTTTTTTCTCTGTGCCTTTAAAGTCGACTTTGCACTAAAAAAATGTTGTTGCTTTTTTTTAAATTTTTATGCTGGTGTGGCGGCTTGGGAGACAATGTTAATACCGTCTCGTAGTACAGTGAGCATTCAAGCGTTATTTTATATGAGAAATTATCGTTATGAACAACCCCCCAAAAAACAAGCAAAGTCACTGTAGAACTGAATAGATGTCGTAAAACGATCTTTGATGTCAAACAAAGTCACTGTAGAACTGAATAGATGTCTTAAAACGATCTTTGATGTGCAACGATTGGAAGTTTTAGTAGAGTAAATCAGGTAGGTATAGGCCACGGAAATGGTCATTTACTAGTAACGGTATATCCCTATATTCTCTATGTATAAAACATAGGCCTAATTTATTACCTAAACGCGGTAACGGAAAATGAACTCAACCTTGTGGTTTGTACTCCTCCAGATCTTTCACTCCCTCATCAAGAAAGATTATTCACTTTCTCACCAAGAAAGATCTTTCACTTTCTCATAAAAAAATATCACAATTTATTATAGGATTTAAACATATCCCACTTCGGTCCTCTAATGATAAATTCAATTGATGTCAGATGTGTATCGTTTGTTTTTTTTCGCTCATTGAGACTGACACTTTACTTTCACGAGTCTCCCACTCGCCATGATGAGGAAACATTACCTGTATTAAAATTATTATAGTATAGTATATAAATGTAGAGCCTAAATTATTCAAACATAAAATTACAATAAAAAAAAATTTTTAAACACATAGCAACTGTTTTAGGCATGAGGAATGACACCTGAAAACATAGTCATAGTGACATGTCAATGTCATTGGGAATGCTGGTAGTGTCACAAGATGCTGTCACAGTACTGATGCTCCGTGTGGACAGAAGCACTTCCTGAAGCAGTTACGATTTAAGTTTGCCAGGCTTCAATTAGTTATGTATTGTGTTATTATACTTTTAGCTCAACAACTTATTGTGGTAGCATACTTTTATTTCAACAAACTATTTTGTATTTATACACTTAGGTTAACAACTTATTGTATTTTTAAAATTTACTAATTTTTTAAATAAGCTGTTTGTGCAAAATTCCACATTAATTTTTAACTCTTCTAAATTGTTATCTTTGAATGCTGAAATGCGTTCATGTGCAGGTATTATTAGACTATATGATATTTATGTAAAATGTTATTGCTTCTGAATCTGTACCATACACTTCCAATGTATTCAATCATGTAGTATTATTTTTAATTAAACACTAAACGTTCATGTTACATTACTTATTACTATATGGTCATGGCTGCTGGACATCAGAAGTTTTTTTAGAAAATGAAAACAACATGATTTATGGATTAACCTGTAGGGTTAATTGAAGCAGTTATTTAAAAATCATTGTAGTAAAAATAACTGCAATGTATATCCATAAATAAAACAAGAGACTTGATTTATGTCTTTATGTATGATTGTTCATATCCTATTGATCGATAGTGTCATTCTGGTTTACAGATAATAATTTCATATAAATGTTTACTCTACCAGGAGATTTTTTTTTAAAATTATTTTTTATTTTTTTTATATATATATTTTCAGCCATAAAGCCTGACAGAGTTTTAAGAATGACCAGACACATGTTTGAGCATGAGACAACCAGACCACAGAATAGATGAGTGAGAAAGGAAACTAGTACCCTTTGCAGAAGAGATGCAATCCCATCGGCTCCTTTAAAAGGGGACTTACTTCACTAACTGGGTCACTTTTGAACCAAATGTATTGGAGTCAAAGAGCTGTGTTAAAATATGCTTTAAAAAATATGTCTTTTGTCAACTCAGTGCTGTAGTTGCTGATGACATATTACGATGACAGGATATGTGCTATGCTATGAACAATTTTCTTCAATTCCATTGAAAATGCTGCACACTTGAACAACGCAAACAGCTCCTAATTTTCTATTTTATGAAAATTACTTTTTTCTCAACTTTTAAATAAAAAGCTTTTCAATGGACTTTTCTTTCTTAAATTTTTTTTTTTTGTAACACCGTTTTATAAAAACACCAATATGAATACATTATAAACTAACAGGAGTCTATATATTTCATTTTTACAAATGACTTTCCAGCATTTATAATGCAGTTATATTCAAATATATCAATTACTAAACATTCAACATTCAGAATTCTATAATATATTTTATAAAATTTAATCTAATTTTGGTATTTAGGATATTGTTAATTAATTACTACTTTTAAAAAATGAAATATTTTGTACTGAGAATTTTTATCCCATCAAAAGGATAAAAAATAATAATAAAGCCAAATTAATGAATATTTTTTATTTACTTTCCTTTTAATTATCGCCATAGTTATTTTATCAATATAATCCTAAATTTAAAATTAGTTTTCTAAAAATCTGAGCGTAGGAAAAATGTTTGAACATCTCTAAACCCCAAAAATAGAGAACTAGCGTTTTGAAATTCAGCTCTTCATTTATTGATTACATTGGACGTATTCATGTTCATCAAATATATATATGTAAGCATAATTTAGAATGAACTCGATTCCATATATTTTGAGCTCATTAAAATGATAACTTTAAACACATTTTTTTTTTATTTCTTTTGAAAATTAAGCATTTCACAGGCGCATACAAATAGTGCAAGTTTCCTCTTTTATTTTAAAAACCTAAAGCATTTGTGTTTGCTTTAAATGTGCCACTTTTGTAATACAATTTCCTGAATAGCAGAGTCTGACTGGCAGAGTTGTTGTTTTTTCTAAATAGTATCATTACTTATACATGTGTATTTTTTTTTTCCATTCGATTTCAACATGTCAATGATTCTAGCGTTGATTTGTGATGGAATTATTATTTTTTTTTTTAATTCATTTAAAATAGAAGTAGTTTACCTCAGAGCTACCTTAAATTAGGAATAACACCATATCCAAGTTACCATACGTAGAAATATAAATGTTTATTTGAAATCAAACGGAATAGAGCACAAGTGCTCAATTCAATCATCAGAAATGTCAAACACCTGTATACTTGAACAAATGTATTTTTATATTTAACAGAACAATCCTATTGAGTGGTTGGTGGGTGTTGGTGAAACAAAAGAAGTGAGAATAATTTTACCTAGATGTTATAAATGGTTACACGAAAGCAACAAGAATAATTACAAGTTGAAAATGTGTTGACATCAATCGCATGTTATAACAATAATAATAATATCTGTAAGTTGACGTGATTTTGACAAAATAATGATATTAATTTTGTCAGTTCAGGGCTAAAAAATTATTGCAGGATTTATTAAAAAGGTAAACATTAAGCCTAAAATAGAAAATCAAATGTTTTGATTAATTTCTCTCGAGGCCATGTTTAAAATCAGGTAGAAAATATAAATAAATATTTATACACAATACTGTCGGGGTGATCTGAAAACAAGTGCTTAATAGTACAGTAAACAAAAATAAACTCTTTTAGCTCCTGGCACATTAACATTATATTATAACTATGTATAGTAACTTCTCGCCCGTTGCAAGTCTTGTTAATATTAATATACAAAGGAGAATAATTAAACACTGTAATGATGATCAGATTATTTTGTAAATAAAGCCCGCTGTGACGCTTCACAATTGGAAGTAAAGGCAGAGACAGGTTAGGGATCATGATAACAAGTTGCTGTTAATGGATATGAGGCGGGAGGCGAAGTTGGTAACCTCTTGCCGATGATTCTTACTACGCAGCCCTGAGAAGCTGCTCCAAGGCAACCGTTTCATCCCAGCTACTTCGCAAATTTCTTGTGTGGTCGAAACATACTGTAGAAACCCTCTTAAAGGGAGTCCAACGCTTCCCTGGGAAGGGTGGGGGGAGATATTAGGACGTAAAATTTACCATCCAGACTCCTGAGAAAGTCGATCGTGTGCAAACACCGGGTCGGACCAACCGGGTGTCTTTGGGCTGGGGCAGCCTGCAGTGGAAACCGATCAAGCGGAGTTGGGTGGGGGGGGGGGGTGGGGGGGGGGGGGGGGGGGGGGACACAAAGAGCATTAGCTCGAGGGCCCGCTGACGCCATTTCTTTATGTGACATTAAATACAAGCTTGGATTTTTTTTAAGCTGTTAACTCTAGTATCCAGGTTAATCCCATAGTGTAATGAGACAGTCATTTTTCATTAACATAAAAATCTACTAAATATTATTTATCGCTTAACATATACCGGTACTATACAAAACTTCATAACATGCTTAAAGTGGTACGAACAGATGACCTTGATCATCATACTCTACTCTAGCAACAATGAATGTTTGAAAATGTACATTATAACAATGTCCAGGTCAAGATGCCAAAGTTCAAAATGCCCAAGGTCAAGATGCCAAAGTTCAAAATGCCCAAGGTCAAGATGCCAAAGTTCAAGATATAACAAAATATGAAGGTGGAATCACACAATCATGTAAAATAAATTAGTTCCAAACTTCAATATCCCTCACTAATTAAAACAACAAATTTTATCAATTAGTTTTTCCTTTATAAATCTATTCTAAATATATTGCTCACATTTATATAGGAAATATTACATTTGAAATTTAATTTTGAAAATGTAAAGCTCCACGGGAAATGTTCAAAAACAAGAAATCCCTAACGAATTATGATAACATCGGAGAATCGGCAAGAAACTAAAGGATATGGGCTATGTAGAGTTAACACTGACTCACATACAAACCCTTAATGAGTCACAAATGAGTCACACAATATTAAAAAATAAGTGGCTGATGAAACACATCACAACCAATATGACAAAAGGGACCTGTCCTATTTAAAGGCGGATGTCAGCCCCTATGTTGTACACAATATTTGTTCAAATGGAAGCATCACAAATGAACATTTACATTAGAGATAATATAGAAATGTTCCAGGAAATGTTAAAAAGTGAACATTTATCAGAGAAATCGTTAATGAAACTGCTCAAAAAGAAATTTTTACATATGAAATTGTTACAAATGAAATGGTTACAAATGAAATTGTTACAAATAAAATTGTCACAAATGAAAAGTTACAAGAAAAATGTTACAATTCAAAAAAGGAAATGACTCAATACCCTATATGCCAATTATCACTCATTGTGATCAGAAATGGGATGTCTTGCCAAGTATCACTCATTGTGATCGCAAATGTAATGTCATGCAAAGTGATCAGAAATGTGATGTCTTGCCAAGTATCACTCATTGTGATCAGAAATTTTAATGTGATTCTATTATATTAATATTTAAACATAGCAGTGTCCCATCTCTTTCCCATTGGACAAATGTATTGCAAGGACACATCATAAAACAAAAGATTTTGCTAAAAAGTGCTACACAATCAAACAAAAAATACATACAATCATCAATAATGCACTGAAAAGTTTTGAAATTATGTTTTAAAATAATGTGTCAAAGCTGTACATCTTAACCGGTTTGTAATTATGATGTCAGAACTTTTCATCTTAACCGGTTTGTAATTATGATGCCATAACTGTAAAAAATTTGTAAAATTTATTCAATTCCAGTTTCAACATTATTTCAAAGTTACATATTATTTAAGAATATTCAAATGTAACCTTCAAAGTTGTAAATATACTTGAATTTGTACAAAATAAAAATATATTTCAATTTCATATTTGTCAATGTCAAGTGGAAATCAAATGATGTGAATTTTTCATCACAAATAAATGTTTGTTGAGAATGATGTGATGGTTTATATTTATGAAGATGTATATTTTTTCCAAATTGTTAATTGGTACAGGGTTTGTGAAACTGGAATGTTTCATATAACATCATAGAATAGAACTAATGATGAATAAAATGCAAGATGGCTGCCCTTATTCACATATCAACAAAAACTTAATTTTAATGTCACCATGGTTACACAGGTCACCCTAATCAAAAGGACACAATGTTAACAGCGTTGTCCATCAGGATGCCCAGGTCACACCGCGCTCACATTGGACTTGGAGATCTCCCCCATTTTGGTCCTCTGCTGCAGGAGCCCATTCCCTTGCTGCGGCTCATGTTTAGATTTCTGGTACCCCTGACTTTTGGCCTGCTCTTGATTTCTATTCTTCTGATACTTCCTCCCCAGGACCCTGCCCTCATCTTTGGTTTTGTGATAGGAATAATCACTGTCCTCATCTTCGGTGTAGCGTTTCTGGTAATCCCTCTCCTGGTCAGGGCGTCTGTTTTTCTGGTGCGAGCGATCGTAGTCCTGGTCATCTCTGTCATTTCTCTGGAATCCTCTGTCATGATCTTTGTTGTACCGATGGTTAGCTTGATCTTGATCTTTGCCCCCCTTGTGAGTCAGACAAGGTTTATCCATCTCTTGGTGTCTTGGTTTGGTGTACAGGTCCCCATGATCTTTTTCATGCTTTCTTTTTTTCTGGTACAGCTCTTCAGGATCTTTCTCCTCTTGATCTGTCTTTGTGTACATTAGAGTTTGTACAGGCTCCTCCTGTCTGGGCTTCTTGTAGATGGGCGGCTTGGTCTCATCCTTGTATTTCTGGAGCAAGAGACCATGACCTTCTTCCTCCCTATACTTATTTTCCAATGAAGCCCTAGCAGTAGCCGTGCAAGACCTTCTGAGACCAAAAGGTTTCGTGGCAAACAGAAGGTCATAGGTCAGTGCTCCAGCTACTGCCCCGATCATAGGTCCTGTCCAATAAATCTGTTGAGAAAAACAACATGATCTATTAAATTACTGAAGAGAGATTAGGGCTAGGGTAAGATTAGGACAATTAGAAGAAAGAAAGTGATTGGCTACTGCATGGTTAGGGTTAAGGCCAGGACATTTAGATGAAAACAAGTGATTGGCTACTGGGTAGTGTTTTCAAAAAGGATTTGTGGTGGAGAAAGGAAGTTTTAAAGTTTTTTCAACTTGTGTAGCTCTTTTAATTGGTGCTACAGCTATTCCTTGACCTGTGATCTATGACCTTTTGACTGAAGCCCTCTCAGATGAATATAACAGAGAATGATTCAGTCAAAATGTCATAAATTATAGCAACACTTCTGTTATATTCATCAGAGATGGGATTCAGTAGAAACGAATGGATCATCTCATAGATTGCGAAACATGTTTAAAATAACGAACTTAAGTTATAACAGGTTGATCAATGTGACTTTTAACATTATTATTATTGTAAGTGGTTTTATATAGCATGGTACCCCAGCCTCACCCCGCTGTACAGACCATTTAACAAATTTAATCATAAACTTTTTAAAAAATAATTAACATAAATAAAACAAATGTATATTTAAAACATAAAGATCAGGCTGATGAATGTGACTTTTGACATGATGATCAGGCTGATAAATGTGACTTTTCACATGATGATCAGGCTGATAAATGTGACTTTTCACATGATGATCAGGCTGATAAATGTGACTTTTATTTAACTTAAAGCCATAATCTATTCTTGTATTTTCATGTCTTGGCCTGCTGTCAGGTGATCATCTCCTGATCGAAACATCGAATCACGATTGTGGTAATTCATGTCTTATGGTGTCTTAAAGTGTCTAGTGGTGTCTTATGTCTAAATGTTGTTATAATTCTTTTGTAGCGTCTTAGACTTTCAGCTCTTTTATTGCACATAACCCAGTACAACCATCAGCTGCATGTTTTTTATAGGGTTGTCTCCCTTGCTCCGGTTTACAACGAAGTTTTCATGAACAGCTACCGACCCCGTGTCAAGGTAGTTATTTTATGAGTTATGTCCCTGGCGTTCATAATATGGATACTGAATAGATGTCTTCCTTATCTCATGGAGCACAACCATCCAACTGATGGACCACAACCATCCAAATGATGGACCACAACCATCCAACTGATGGACCACAACCATCCAACTGATGGACCACAACCATCCAACTGATGGACCACAACCATCCAACTGATGGACCACAACCATCCAACTGATGGACTATAACCATCCAACTGATGGACCACAACCATCCAACTGATGGACTACAACAATCTGACTGATGGAGCACATTCATCTTAATGATGAAATACAACCATACAACCATCCAAATGATTGACTACAACTATCCGACTGATGGACTACAACCAAACAACCATTTGACCCGCATGCTTGCCTGGGTATATAAACTAAACCTAGCACTTTCAGAGAATCCGAGATGTTTGGATTCCAATACTCCACTACCCTGGCACTATCTAACCACCCAAAACTCATCTTATTCTTATGCTACCCTTAAAATATAGACTAAAATTGACTTTACACCCAAAAAAAGTTATGACTGCAAAACAGCTTAATAAATGCTTCATTATTATGACACTGCGTCAATTTATGTAAGTTGTGCAATGTAAGATTTACAGTAAAGATTTGTTCGTTTGTTGTAAAGCATAAATGGAGCTATACGCCCCACAAGTCATGAAGACATAATTACATTTTAGCCTTACCCAAACATAAGTAAATTCTTCTTGCACCAGAGCTGGTCCAAAGCCCCTCACAGGATTCATGCAGCCCCCAGATATGTTGGCCTGAACAACAGCAAGAGAGTAAGTATCAAATATTCATTATTTTCTACAGCATTGATTTCATTCATCAATGTCAGCATTTTTTTTTACAAAGGGAAAAATTTGTATAACTTATGACCTTCTTTACTTCCTTTAGTTGTTTTAAATTTTTTTATTAAGATTATTTTGAAATTTCTTATTAAGATTATTTTGAAATTTCTTATTAAGATTATTTTGAAATTTCTTATTAAGATTATTTTGAAATTTTTTATTAACATTATTTTGAAATTTCTTATTAAGATTATTTTGAAATTTCTTATTAAGATTATTTTGAAATTTCTTATTAAGATTATTTTGAAATTTCTTATTAAGATTATTTTGAAATTTCTTATTAAGATTATTTTGAAATTTTTTATTAAGATTATTTTGAAATTTATGTTTTTAAATTATAAATAAATGGTGACAAAGTTGAGCAGTTGGTTAAAATAATTGAAAAAAATCCTTAAGATAGACAGACATTAAGATTGACATGCAGACATTAATATTGACAGACAGACATTAATATTGACATGCAGACATTAAGATTGACAGACAGTCATGGTTCACGTCAAGCTCAATTAAAGCTCTCAATTAATATGACATAAACACCACATAAGACATTGAGGAATTGTAAGAAGGTGGTCTTCACTGGGAGAAACAGCATATTCAAATAACTATGTAACATCACCACTACATCAACATTACCACTACTTAAACATCACCACTACTTCAACATCACCAACACTTCAACATCACCACTAATTCAACATCACCTCCAAATCATCATCACCACTAATTCAACATCACCACCACATCAATGTCAACACTATTTCAACATCATCCGCATTTCAACATCATGACTACTTTAACATCACATCTACTTCAACATCACCACTACTTTAACATCACCAAAACTTCAACATTACCACTAATTCAACATCATCACTACTTCAGATCACCACCAATTCAATGTACCACCACATCAACGTCACCACTACTTCAACATCACCCCCACTGCAACATCACCACTACTTCAACATTGCACCACTTCACCATCACCACTAATTCACCATCACCCCTTCTTCAACATCACCAATTTCAGATACAAATATTGAATGCATGTAAGCTGATAAGTCAGGATGATGAAGAGAGAGTCTATGTTAAGCTGATAAGTCAGGATAATGAAGAGAGAGTCTATGTCAAGCTGATAAGTCAGGATGATGAAGAGAGAGTCTATGTTTACCCCAAAGAGAATGTTGACTGTAACTGTGAGACCGACCAACAGTGGGACGGAACCCTGCATGTCTGTCCTGCCTGCATCCACCTGAATGAGGGACAAATGACAGATCTTAGTTTAAACTTGTCTTTTGTATTATCTACAGATGGACATTATTTGTCTAAAGACGTACATTAAATTTTCTCCAGATAGACATTACATTGACTACATATAGACATTACATTGTCCAATCAAAAACAACATTAAGACTTTATGTTCTTGTGCAATATCTCACAAAAAGTTTGCACTCATGATTTTTTAACCAACTTTATTTTCAGATGACAAAGTTCCTTCAATGAAATAATTCCCTGGTAAAATTGTTACAAAAATCTTACCAATGACATTGTCACAAAATCTTACCAATGACATTGTCACAAAATCTTACCAATGACATTGTCACAAAATCTTACCAATGACATTGTCACAAAGAGCAACAGAAATGTGATGACGACCTCCGCGCCCAGGGCCTCCGATGTGGTGACCCCCTCAGAAGGGCTAAGGACCCCGATGGTGCCGATATGGGTGTTTGGCACCATGGCCTTCAAGAGCCCCGCCCCTGCGACAGCTCCCGTTGTTTGGAAGAGAGTGTACACGACGAATCTGAGACAACAGCAAAGAATAGGTGTCTTAAAAGAGTCTTAGTACAGTCTACTTAATATAGTCTTAAATTAGTCTTATTTTAGTCTTAATATAGTTTTAATTTAGTCATTATATAGTCTTAAATTAGACTTAATAGAGTCTTAAATTAGACTTAATAGAGTCTTAAATTAGACATAATATAATCTTATTTTATTCTTAATGGAGTTAATGTATTATTCATGGAGTCAATATAGTCTTAATGGAGTTAATATAGTCTTAATTTATCCTTAATATAGTCTTAATATAGTCTAAATATAGTCTAAATATAGTCAAATTTTAGTGCTAGGTTAGTCTTAATTTAATCTTAATTTGGTCTTAATTTATTAATTCTTTAAATCTTTGTTTCAATATATATTTTTCAAGTAGGTTCTGTACAGCAAAACTTTACAGTAATTATAGCATTAATTAACTGTTAGGCCTCTAGACTCTAGTGTGAACTTTGAACTCTAAACCCTTTCAATGCGCGATATTTTAAAACGCATTTAATCAAAGTGGGATGACGCTGACACTATCCATCGTAATTCGTGAGTCATGCAAAACCAGGTGGAAGGTTTTTCTGCGTTTCCCAGCCCAGAAATTCAAAATGTTCTGGTTCTGCATCACTGAGCACAGTTATTACGACATCTCACAGACCAATCAAAAAGCAGATCACTGCGCGTAAGTCGTAGTACGGTAAAGACGTTGTGATCAGGTCCATTTCCTGGCTTTTCATTCTTTACTGGGAGTCAGTGGGAATTTCAAATTGTGGCTACCAAGGTTAACATGTTGACCTAGTTGTAACCCCGGGGGGAAAAACTGTGACTGTGACATTTTGTGGGTGTCGGGAACATGTGTGTGTGTGGGGGGGGGGGGGAGTGGTGGGTGAATGCAGGGAACATATGTTTGAAAGGACCGGTATGGAGTAGGCCTATCTGGGTGTGGAGTAGGCCTATCTGGGTGTGGAGTAGGCCTATCTGGGTGTGGAGTAGGCCTATCTGGGTGTGGAGTAGGTCTATCTGGGTGTGGAGTAGGCCTATCTGGGTGTGGAGTAGGCCTATCTGGGGGTGGAGTAGGCCTATCTGGGGGTGGAGTAGGCCTATCGTCTGACTGTCTTGTGGAATTTTGTAGGATCGGGCACTTAGAATGTGCTCCACCGAATAATGTGTTGTTGTTTTTTTAATAAATGTAATAAAAGAATTTAAACCATGCAATAGCCCCCCCCCCCCCCAAACACATTTTTTAGTCTTTATTGTTGACGCCCCCTGCGTGTTTCTGAACATGTATGGCTCAAAACACATTCAGTTATGGCTCAAAACACATTCAGTTATGGCTCACAACACATTCAGTTATGGCTCAAAACACATTCAGTTATGGCTCAAAACACATTCAGTGAGGGCTCAAACACATTCAGTTATGGCTCAAAACACATTCAGTTATGGCTCAAAACACATTCAGTTAAGGCTCAAAACACATTCAGTTATGGCTCAAAACACATTCAGTTATGGCTCAAAACACATTCAGTTATGGCTCAAAACACATTCAGTTATGGCTCAAAACACATTTAGTTATGGCTCAAAACACATTTAGTTTGATTTAGTTGAAAAGCCTCGTGCCTCGCTAAAGAGATTGAGATTGACATGGTTTATAGATAAAATTACTTTTTTGTGAAATATTAAAAGGAAGTAATAGATGGGTTAGACACATTTATTTTAGGATTCTTGCAAAACCGTATCAATTTGTTTTATCTTAAAATGTTGATTTGTAAAATGGAAAAATTGTTAAAATGTCTGATTAAATTGTATAGGAATGACCGGATTTTTCTATTTTTTTACATTATTTTGGATGGAGATTTTTCAGCTAATTGAGGTAGATAGTTTTTATTGGGGTGGAGAGTTTTCATGTAATTGGGGTGGGGCGTTGAAAGGTCATGCCCGTTCACAAATTACGTCACGCTCAGGTTGGGGAGGGGGGGGGTCGAGAATTTGTGACACTTGTGACAGGGGGGCCCGGGGGGGGGGTAAAATAAATTTGTGGTTGTTTGTAAAATAAATTTGACATTACGATTTTTTTTTAATTATTTTTTTAAAATTATTTATTTTTCTAATTTTGAAAAATCTTTATTAAATTAATTTAAAAAATTATTAATTTCAGTTCAAAATTGCCTCAGGTATTATAGGTACCTTGAAACTCAGTTGTGCACACACCTTCTGCCCATATCGAAAAATGTCTCAAAAACTGTTGTGGCCATTTTACATTTGGATTGTTAATGACTCCGTGGTTTCGCGTCACAGCTTTCTAATATTACTACATCTTAATCCATTTTGGGAAAATTTTAAAGAATACAATATTATTTTAGTTACGCAAATTTTATGTATGTTTTGATATTTTTTTAGGTGTGACGTGACACTGGGGAGGGGGGGTGGTAAAGAATTTGTGACACTTTTTGATGGGGGAGATGGGGTCTGAAAAGGTAATTTTTAGCGTGGAGTAATTTGAGAACGACCCCTAACCTTGGCAGTAATGGAATATTCTCATGATAACCTTTAAAAATTTCCCTTAACTGGGTGGCGATGACCTAATTTGAACTTGGGATAAACTATTTGTAACGTGTGCTATTTGCGGTCAGGTTTTTAATAGAGCATACGCATGTTTATAATCTGGTTTAAATGATAAGATTCTATGGCCTTGGTTTCCCCGGGCCTGCTTAATGTCACGCTGACCTCATAAAGGTGATCTGTCCTGTGACCAAGAATCCGATGGAGATGGCCGGGTTAACGTGACCTCCACTGACCGTCGACAGGGCCGTGATGATCACAGCGATGAAGAAGCCGCAGCCAATGGCGACCTGTGTGGAGGTAAAGGAAGGTTTGAATTAAAGGAAGGTTCAAAGAAAAGGAAGTTTTGAATTAAAGGAAGGTTCAATGAAAGGAAGGCTTGAATTAGAGGAAGGTTCAAAGAAAGGAAGGTTGAATTCGAGGAAGGTTCAATGAAAGGAAGTTTGAATTAGATGAAGGTTCAATGAAAGGAAGGTTGAATTAGATGAAGGTTCAATGAAAGGAAGGTTTGAATTAGATGAAGGTTCAATGAAAGGAAGGTTTGAATTAGATGAAGGTTCAATGAAAGGAAAGTTTGAATTAAAGGTTCAATGAAAGGTTGAATTAAAGGTTCAATGAAAGGAAAGTTTGAATTAGAGGAAGTTTGAATTAAAGAAAGTTTGAAATAGAGGACGTTTGAATTAAAGAAAGTTTGAATTAAAGAAAGTTTGAATTAAAGAAAGTTTGAAATAGAGGACGTTTGAATTAAAGAAAGTTTGAATTAAAGAAAGTTTGAATTAAAGAAAGTTTGAAATAGAGGAAGTTTGAATTAAAGAAAGTTTGAAATAGAGGACGTTTGAATTAAAGAAAGTTTGAAATAGAGGACGTTTGAATTAAAGAAAGTTTGAATTAAAGAAAGTTTGAATTAAAGAAAGTTTGAATTAAAGAAAGTTTGAAATAGAGGACGTTTGAATTAAAGAAAGTTTGAATTAAAGAAAGTTTGAAATAGAGGACGTTTGAATTAAAGAAAGTTTGAATTAAAGAAAGTTTGAATTAAAGAAAGTTTGAATTAAAGAAAGTTTGAAATAAAGAAAGTTGAAATAAAGAAAGTTTGAATTACAGAAAGTTGAAATAAAGAAAGTTTGAATTACAGAAAGTATGAATTAATTGAAGTTTGAATTACAGAAAGTATGAATTAATTGAAGTTTGAATTAAGAAAGTATGAATTAATTGAAGTTTGAATTAAGAAAGTTTGAACAAAAGGACGTTAGAAAACTGTGGCCGTGAAAGTTTCACGGAACAAAGGATCCTTTTAAGGGCGACCACAAATTGAACAGCTTTTTTAACTGAATCATCGGAACGGAATCCCTGCTCGTTGCTGATGGGTAGCCGCAGCAAGAGGACAATATTGTGTCATCACAGAAGGTAAGTTTAGTCTCAAGTTGTCGTCTGGCTAATTAAGCAACGTCAACATTTTCCGGGTTCAGTTGGGCCTCAAAGTTAAACTTTCGCTCCCACCCCCCACCCCCAAGTGTCAACATAGAAGCACCGTGTAAAATGATATGCGTGTCTTTGTAAAGACGGATAATGGGAAAGTCAAGTGCGTCTTTTAACTTATCATGATAAGTCTTTAACGGCTTTACTGATAAGGAAGGATAGTTTGTCTTGACCAACGAGTGGTTCTCATGTTTGTAGAGGCAGTTAATCATGGAATTTCATACTTTTTTTTTAGTGATATCTTAATATGCACCAATGGAACTTGTAATTTAATGATGGAATATCAAACTAAATGTTTGTGACATCTTAACGTGCACCAGTGGGACTTTTAAACTAATGGATCTATTCTTTCCAAAAGCAGAGGTTCTCGTGTGTTTAACGCAGCACAGTACCAAGCTATATTTCCGCCCTGTGCCTTGCATGAGCTGGCGTCCCCATATTTTGCTACCCAGCCTAAATTTCGAATGTAAATTATATTTAATAATAGAAAAGAAATAGACTTATTCGGTAAAAAGCTGCAGTTTTATATATAGTCCCTTCGGTTTATTCTCCCTTCACAATTAAAATAGCACTGAAATCTTTATTGGGTAGTAAAAATATCGCTGGTACAATTCTATCATTTTAAATGGTTGGACTGGTCCATTTCTCCGCCAGCCGTCTTCTCCAAATGTACTTTTGATAACTCAAAATCATCAATAACCATGTTCTAGTTTTTATATAACTAACCACATCATAGTCAATTTAAACAATTGATAAGCTCCGAGAGCTAGAGAGAAAAAAAAATGTTAACGCGACCAAAAAATGTAACCCTATTAAAAATAATGCCAAATCTGTCACACTCATTATTTTGGCTTGCACTGCTTTATATTTTCCGGCCATGTTGGCGCCGTTGTCGTAACCTTGAACCCTGCTGCCATCTTTTTCTAACTTTTTACGTAATTTCTTTGACATGACCGGAAACAGTCGTTCCATGACCTTCAGTCAAATCTACAAAGCTCTCCTTGATCAATCAATAGCTGTCTTCTATCAAAACATAGTGTATTATTTCAGACAGCTGTACATCAGGTGTACAGTCAAAGGGAAGAGAACAATATTTGGCAGCCTGAATTCTTGAAATAATTTCGCTTTTAATTATTGCATCCGCTAAGTGTTATACGTTCAGTATGAATTTTAGGCTAAAGATATGTCAGACTTGTGTCTGGTGTCGTGTTCAACCAGCAATGTGATCAGTCAGCAATGTGTTCAGCTAAACGTAGATGATCACGGCCGATTCATTCTATGGTATTCAAAAAAAAAAAAAAAATCCCCCACGTGGTTCTCAAATGGTGTCTCTAGTAGGCCACGACAGGCAGTTCCGGCTGGTAAGAGCAAGAACATAGTACGGGAACTGCTCATTCCTGCCAAAGACAATTAGGGACTGGAACAAGCTTCCAAAAGGGATAGTTGAGGCGACAACATTTGACACATTTGCGTCTATTGCCTGTGGCCTTTCAACCCCCAGTTCCTGATACCCTCGCTGTGTACCCCTTGCATCTAGTGAAATATGCTCTTCATTACCAAGCATAAAAACATTCGACAATCCCCTCTACACACGAAGGAGCTAGAATGATAAGAACATTGATAGTGGGCTCTTAATATACAGAAGAAGAATTGTTAGCACTGAACAAAATAGCACCAATGACTACTGTTCGTATATTTTACCACTTTCAAGCCTATTTACTTTATGAAAATAGCAAGCAATCATTCGACCTTCTTTCAAACGGATTGCAACATCTTTGCACATCATAGAACAGTTTCTGTGTTCAGGGCTGTTTCGTGTTCAGACACTCTTGGACTAACATGGCTCCACACTCTTGGATAACATGGCTCCACACTCTTGGACTAACATGGCTCCACACTCTTGGACTAACATGGCTCCAGTCAGAAAATCCCGTCTTTGGATCCAAAAATTTAATTTTTTGCAACGGGAAAACAGCATACAAGGAAAACAGTATGAAAACAGGCAACTTTATCTTTAGAAACACTTGACACAATCCATTGACGGTGAACATTTGTCCGTTTGGAAGAACTTTTTCAAACCAATTTGAACTCTAAGTGACCGGCTTTGCCAGGGATTATCGTATCTTGATAGCAATCACGTGACTTTTGCTTTGGGACATGCATGTAAAATTAAATAGCACTTAACCATGTCAGATAATGGCGGCCATGCATCCGGATCGTGAAGTCGAAATGCGGCTGGCATTTCACCTCGAATGGGATCTGCATGCGGGCGAACAGTTTCATCAGATCTGCATGCGGGCGAACAGTTTCATCAGATCTGCATGCTGGCGAACAGTTTCATCAGATCTGCATGCCGGCGAACAGTTTCATCAGATCTGCATGCTGGCGAACAGTTTCATCAGATCTGCATGCTGGCGAACAGTTTCATCAGATCTGCATGCTGGCGAACAGTTTCATCAGATCTGCATGCTGGCGAACAGTTTCATCAGATCTGCATGCTGGCGAACAGTTTCATCAGATCTGCATGCTGGCGAACAGTTTCATCAGATCTGCATGCTGGCGAACAGTTTCATCAGATCTGCATGCCGGCGAACAGTTTCATCAGATCTGCATGCTGGCGAACAGTTTCATCAGATCTGCATGCGGGCGAACAGTTTCATCAGATCTGCATGCTGGCGAACAGTTTCATCAGATCTGCATGCTGGCGAACAGTTTCATCAGATCTGCATGCTGGCGAACAGTTTCATCAGATCTGCATGCTGGCGAACAGTTTTATCAGATCTTTATGAACAGTGAGCAGTAATTTCACTATAGCTTTAGTATCATCTCACGCTAGTGAGACTGGGACTCTTACCAAGAAAAGCAGAGAACCTGCTCAATACATGGGAGAGGAAATTCATCAGAAAAATATACGGCCCGGGGATGGAAAATGATATCTGGAGAATACTTACAAAATAATTGTACAAAGACGCACCCATAGTCGCAATATATTTTTAAAAAAGGCAGACTGCGCTGGGCAGGACATATTGAAAGGATGCCGGATTGTAGAGCAGCAGAAATGATAAACATGGTTTACAGTTGCTTCGTTGAAGAGAGCGACTTGTCGATAGGTTCATTGTTTATATTTTTTGCGTCCCTTTTTTCAGGTTTTCCCATACTTTGTTTCACTCATTTATTTCTAATCCTTAAGCACTGACCCAATAAATTAAACACTGACCCAAAGACTTAAACACTGACCCAATAACTTAAACAAACACTAACCCAATAACTTAAACATTGACCAAACAAATTAAACGCTGACAAAACAAATTAAACACTGACTTAAGCACTGACCCAATAACTTAAACACTGACTAAATCACTCAACCAATAACTTAAACACTGATTTAAACCCTGACCAGATAAACCTAATAAGTCTCTTCAAAATTATTCTTCACCAGAACTTCAGCGCTGCGCCATTCCCCAAAATGGATAGAGAGATGTCAAGGAATTAGACTAAATTAAATAAATGAGAGAGATGAAGTTTTATACCAAATTCTTTCCCTACCTGCAGCAATGGAGGCCCTTCCGTCCCTTCCTTTTTCAGCCCCACGCCCACGGTAAACATGACCAACAGGAGGCATCCCACAAACTCTGCCAGGGCAGCACGCCAGAAGGCCAGGCTCTTCACGTCTGCGACCTCCTTTCCAATCTGGCGGGACAGAAACGATCCCTGGTCATTGCTGGCATCGAGCTCCTCCTTCAGCTTGTCAGGGATGGACACAATGGACATGATGATAGCTGTAGGGGTATTGTCTGGTTGATATCTTTGTATGATGGGTATTGACCGGTTGATCTCTTTGTATGGGTATTGTCCGTAAACAAACGTAATGGTGTGAAACTGATTGAAGTTTGCCACGGGGTAACCAAAGATGCAGATACCTCTTGTTAGGATGATTCTAGTGGTATGAAGGGTGTGTCCTCTTGAACTAATCTTGAACACAATGATCACGTCTGCTGATGTACAAGTTGATTTTGTTACTGAGGCCCAGTAGATCACCTGTGTGGGATTTTTTTTTTTTTTTTTTTTTTTTTGGTGGGGGGGGGGGGGGGGTGTTGATAAAAATAAAATAAAGGCGATGGGGATTTTTTTCAGATGAACGGCCTTGAAAAAATAATGTGTATGGACTACAATCATGCATGTCTGTGTGTACACGCTTATTGTATCTGATAGAGTACGGACTACAATGTCTTTGAAAAGAATGTGTACACACTGAAATGTGATGAAAGAATGTCTACACACTAACATAATATGTCAATGACAGGATAAAGAGACATGGCGATGCAAAGACTTTGGGTTTGCTCGTATGTAATTTTTGTAATGTTGCGTTTCGTGATTCAACGTGGTCAAATATCGATTGTGTCATTTCTCTTTTAATATGGTTGACTCTGTACCGCGCTTTGAGCCTTTAGGGATGAAACGTGATTGTCAAATAAACTTTATCATTATTATGCATATGAAAGAATATGTACATACGGGTACTATAATGTCTATGAAAGAATGTGTACAAAATACAGTGTCTATGACAGCATGTGTACAAACTGTAATATGTCTATTAAACATTTTTTGGACATACAACTAAGATTTGGGATGTGTGCTTAATAAATCAATAACACTCTCGGCTCAGTAAAGCAAAGCCCACAAGAGATAGGCTGTTCGTAACACTGTACACAAAAGATATGCTGTTTGTACCAATGTATACTGATAAGGAGGTGAAATGAACTTTGACTTAAATTTGGCCAGAGCTTCCACTTTTTTGACAATCTGAATGCTAACAAAATATCCCAGTTATAAATAGGCCTCCTGACTTGTATCTGAACATTTAAACACCCATTCAATTAAACACTTATTCATTGAAAAACCCATTCCATTGACTTAAACTACTGGCAAGGAAGAGACCAATCATTCCAGACTTTATTTTCTTAAATCATCGAAGAGTTAAGGAACAAAGTTAAGGTCAAGGTCATTGAGATACTCCATTAGGCTGGCAACTACCTGTCAAAGATTCTGTCGAGTTTTTATTTTATTTAATGAATGTTTGTTTTTAATTTTAAAATGACAAATACATTTATGAAAACCCGATCATCAAAACAATTTCATATCTAAAATAATCCAGTAATTATTATTTTATTTTTTAAAATTATTCTTGTCAACAGTAGCTCAGTAGGCTAGATCGTATTTTTCACTATCACATTTGTAGGCTAGATCGTATTTTTCACTATCACATTTGTAGGCTAGATCGTATTTTTCACCACCACATTTACGTGTGACATTTTTAAGTTACATTATCCTGCCAACCTCTCACTTGAAAGTAATGTCAAGATCTACACGATACCACATCTACAATTAACGCTCTTCCACCACAAAATAAGAACATTTTGTAGAACATCAAAAATACTAGACTGTGGGCAGTGTGGACACCTGTCCTTGCCGCCATGCGAATAAATCCTAAGGTGTATTGCCAAGTCTGGGAGACACGGGGCAAACATTTTTCCCCGTAAACAACCTATAATACAGGTTTTAGACCATTACTTTTAAACTAATACCTTTGAACCTTTAGACCAATAACTTTGAACCTCTGCCTTTACACAATCACCTTTTGATCTAGACCTTTAAATCAGTACCTTTAAACCAATACCTGTAGGTAGCCAATACCTTTAAAACAATACATTTAGACCAATAGCTTTGATAAGTTTAAATGACATAGACTTCTACGCCAGTTCAACGCGACTACAGAATACCAACGACTGATTATACTTATCATCACATTTCCTTATCGCTAGAATGTTGACAAATAATTGAGCATTTGAGAGAACTGAAAAGCTAACTAAAACTTAGGTAAGTAAGCCCTAACTTTGGTAAGTAAACCCTAACTCTAACTTCGGTAAACTCTGACTTCTTAATTTAGAGGTTTTCTAAACTTTTATATTTTATTTGAATTAAGCTTAAAATAGGTCTACTCACATTTTTTTAAAATAAATTTAATAAGTGTGTTATCCCAGTTAAGCTGATCTATGGCGTCTGACTGAATTCACGATTTAACAACAAATTCACTGAGTTATTTTGTTCCATTAAATTGAATAAAGCCAACAATGGAGTAGTTACCTCTGTGACCAGTTATCCAGTGCCGCGCGCTGTGCTATGTGTGTCATCAGCTGCTCGCCCAGGCGTTCCAACCTTGCTCTATCTTGGTGTGACCATGGAGGCCAGGGGAGGGTGACTGACTTCGGGGTGGGGGGGGGGGGCAATCCGCGGTTCAATGACACACGGGTGATGGTTACTGTAAAACTTCAAAAATATTCCGTAATATTTGAATTAAAAGCACCACTTTTCTTGGTCTAGCATGATTTATATTGAAACTTTTCTTCTTGCTGTTGTTCAGACAAATAACGTGTGTAAAATTCTGAAACATTTACGATTATTAAAAAAATGTATCTTAGTTGCACAAAGGACTGTCCTACTAGATTGTGTGAATTACTTTGGTGCCCTCATTTGAATTTAAATCATGGAACAAACACAAAAGTTAAACGCAAAAATGGTTTTCATTTCGTAATTTATTTTACTTTAAATTAATTCATTTTTTTTTCCCCCCCCTGTCCCCCCTCCCCCCCCCCCCCACACACAAAACCAAAATAGCCTACCGGAAGCAGGTCTCTTCTGCACTCCTTCCTATCACCCCAGGTCACACAAAACCCGACACACACACACACTCAGAATCCGACACGCATTCCTCGGGGCTAAACCACACTCAGATTCTGGTTAGGAGTTTCCATTTAAACGACCAACTGCTTAGACAGATTTAGCTTCAGGTTCAACGAAAAACGTGCGTCTTACCGTGAACTATGAACTACATGAGGCCTACGTCGTGGGGCCTACGTCGGGTCACAATCTAGGCACAGAAGAGGGGGTTGGGTAGGGGTGGATGCCGTCTCAATGGACCTTTACGCTTCAGTGAACGACGTCATTGTCGTAAGGAAATGCAGAGTGGGTGGGGGCGAGGGGGAGAGGGATACATTCCCACGCCATTACCGTAACACTCACACACCTACGCCAGGCATGCGTCCTTTAATGAAGGGAGACAATTTGGGAGGTTTCCATGATTTACGGTGATTGTTATGAAAATTACTACTCCTATCATCTTTGTGGAAGCGGGATTTAGATAAGTGGATACCGGTAACAAATGTTGTTTTTTCCATTAGGTTATCAAACTTGATTAATCCATTATGTTATCAAACTTGATTAATCCATTATGTTATCAAACTTGATTAATCCAATATGAAATCAAACTTGATTAATCCATTATGTTATCAAACTTGATTAATCCAATATGAAATCAAACTTGATTAATCCATTATGTTATCAAACTTGATTAATCCAATATGAAATCAAACTTGATTAATCCATTATGTTATCAAACTTGATTAATCCAATATGAAATCAAACCTGATTAATCCATTATGTTATCAAACTTGATTAATCCAATATGAAATCAAACCTGATTAATCCATTATGTTATCAAACTTGATTAATCCAATATGAAATCAAACTTGATTAATCCATTATGTTATCAAACTTGATTAATCCAATATGAAATCAAACTTGATTAATCCATTATGTTATCAAACTTGATTAATCCAATATGAAATCAAACCTGATTAATCCATTATGTTATCAAACTTGATTAATCCAATATGAAATCAAACCTGATTAATCCATTATGTTATCAAACTTGATTAATCCAATATGAAATCAAACTTGATTAATCCATTATGTTATCAAACTTGATTAATCCAATATGAAATCAAACTTGATTAATCCATTATGTTATCAAACTTGATTAATCCAATATGAAATCAAACTTGATTAATCCATTATGTTATCAAACTTGATTAATCCAATATGAAATCAAACCTGATTAATCCATTATGTTATCAAACTTGATTAAAAGGACGATGACGTTTTATAATTACTGTAGCAATGGGATTATTCCAGAGACTATTGGTCAGTAATGAGATTATCCCTGAGACTATGGGTCAGTAATGGGTTACTCGACAGACTTACATGCCTATCCATTAACTATCTGCCAATAAGACAGTATGATTATCAAAGTAGGCATCTAGTTTCGACAACTTTTGTCTCACTGATCTATTCATGACCTTTAATACAACTTTTGCCTATTCACACCACTGGACATTGGGGCGGGGGAGAGAGAGAGAGAGAGAGAGAGAGAGAGAGAGAGAGAGAGAGATTTACAACCAACTGGTGTTAAAATAAATAATTCCTGAAAGATTTACTTTTTACGTTAAAACTTGCGACAATCAATAAGATTGCAGTGTGATGATTTGTTCCTCCTCATTTGAACAACTGCATTTTAAAACCAAAGCCAGTTTGAACACGTGTTTATAGTATAACGCCACGGACATCTTGTCCAAAAACCATTTTGACCAGGGTCCGTGTTTTGGTGTGAGTGACACCATGTCAAGAAGTGGAATGGCAGGGGTTGGGAGAGGGGGGGGGTGAAGAATGACATTTTTTTTGGGGGGGGGGGGGGGGGGGGGGAGTATGGACCGGGTGACAGGTTGTTCTATAGGACTGGTCAAATCAGCCCCAGGCCATGACCATAGACCGATAGACCACATTCAGATATAAGTACTCATTGGCGACAGCAGCCTACGTCAAGGTTTGAGCATACAACAATAGATTAAGTTGAAGTGTGCTGGGGGAGCTCATGTCAACGGCGTCACTCTAACCATGTAATACAATCAGGACAGGGAATGCTCCACTCTACACACAATACCTCACTGACAGACCACTGGACATTTAGGCATAATTTTATGTGAGGGAGAAAGAGAGAGATGAGAGAGAGTAGGAGGTGAAAGAGAAGGGCGAGAGAACAGAGAGAGGGGAAGAAAGAGAGAGAGAGAGGGGGCAAGAGGGAGAAAGAGGGAGAGAAATGAAGAGAGAGAGAGAGAATGGAGAGAAAGGAAAGAAAAGGGGAGAGAACCGAAAGAAAAGGGGAGAGAAAGAGAGACAAAGAGAGCGAGAGAGAGAGAGAATAAGAGGGAGACAGAGAGAGCTAAGGACGCTGAGAAAGAGTGTGCATTCTATTTACTTTAAAAAGGTTTGAAGAGGAATTTAATAATATTTTGAGTATTGAGACTTATGTCCCAACTGCCTGTTCAATACCAGACTACATAGGCATCTTATTGTGACTCTATGTATAACTAAGCTATAACTAGATCAGTGTCACAGAATCATATGCTCTGCATCAGATTACATCTATCGATATAATCCACACTTTGATTAGTGTCACAGCATAACATCGCCCAATGCGTCTTGTCATCTTATCTGTTTCTTCCCTGAATGTAAAATAAGATTATTTCCAAACAGATTATCTTAATCTAATTAACGAACCAGCCTATAATGCACTGTTACACATTCGCGCATTAATCTATTCACTTGACCCACTTAAGATAAGTTTCACTAATCTCAATTTGAGTTTTGGTGAGTAAATATATTATTTATAACCCTATGATAAATGTTTACGTTGGTATTTGTTGTTTACGCCATGTAGGCGTTTAAATTAGTTTATCACTCCATTTACCGTAGATGACTCGTTGAATCTACTCACCTAATCCATGTGTGGATCAAGTGTACTCACCGTTCCCGCTCACTCTAAACTCTTCCGATCATCTCACACAATCCTTCTGTTCTCAAGTCTAAAAGCCAAACATTGCTTGTTTACATTCCCGTAGTATTGGGCGTCGATTGTCGGTGCACTGGTTCTCAAACGATGAGATGTCACTGTATCATGTACACGCCCAAGAAAGCTGAGCCAAAAAAAAAAAGATTAGGTATGGAGTAAGAATGTTGTCGTTATGAAACTAGGTGGCCGAGAGAAGGAAGCAAAGTCTCCTTTCAGAAAGTACATGGATTTGTGTGTGTGTACGTGTGTGTGTGTGTGACGTGATGATGAATCTCGTTCGTGACATTAAGATGTTAGCACCAAATGGGGTTAAGTCGACAGCTGTCCAACAATGACATACACGGATAGTGTTGCATAATGTGTACTATGAAATGGTAGCATTCAACTATCTCTGGCCACTCTTCTAATTTAGTTATTAATTTAGTTATTAATTTAGTTATTATTCTGACATTTTATCAGTAGCATTGACGTGTTAGCTTCAAATGTGTTGTAGAAGTGTACATTTGAAGTGTACATTTGAAATGTACTTTTCAGTGTACATTTTTTTTAAAAAAGCAAATTTTTTTTTGTGTGCAAATAAACACTTTAATGTGAAATTAACTGTAAAAATAATGTATAATTATTTTATTAACGTAATTCCCCCCCCCCCTCTCTTTTTTCCGGGGTATAAAGAACAAACAACAAAAATGAACCAGTTCTATTTAATGTGTAAACATGAAGTGTGTGTGTGTGTGTTGGGGGTGAGGGGATGGGCGGGTGAGAAACACAATTGTTTGCACAGAGTGAGTTACAGGTCGGTAAGATGAGCATCTCTATCGCCTTTCACCCAGTAAGAACACAGTGTCCTCAGTGTCCACGGCCTGCCATTGTGTAACAGCTTGTGGTGATCACATGCAGTCCCAACAGTGGGGTGGGGTTACAGTTCACGAGGTCATCTGTGCCGCTCACGGGGTTAACGTAACGTGACCTTGACCCCCCCCCCCTGCACCACTAACATGTTTACTAAAAACCGGGACAGTTGGTGTCGGGGAAGGGAAGGAAGGAGTTAAGATACAGTGCTTCAATGTGGTATGTTTTTGGTTTTTTTTTTAACTCCAAAGATAAGAGATGAGGGAGAGAACTCAGTGCTGTGGCAATGGAAACATTTGTATGACGCGTCACTTTTGGTGGTTGGGCCAACTTTTCACAATAAGAAAATACTTATCAGATGGTGGAGAGAGGAGATGGGGGGGGCGCAAGGAGGTAATGGAAGAGGAGGTGGGGGAGGAAAGGAGGTGGGGGAAGGAGGTGGGGGAGGGAAGGAGGTGAGGGAAGAAGAGGTGGGGAGGAAAGGAGGATGGGAAGAGGAGGTGGGGAGGGAAGGTGGTGGGGAAGAGGAGGTGGTGAAGGGAAGGAGGTGGCAGAATTGGGGAAGAGAAGGTGGGAGGGAAGGAGGTGGGGAAAGTTGGGAAGATGAGGTGAAAGGGAAGGAGGTGGGGGAAGAGGAGGCGGGGAGAAAGAGAAGTTATTGAAGAGGGATGGGGAGAGATAGGGTGTGGGAAGTGGGAAAGAGAAGGTTGTGAGGGAAGGAGCTGGGGCTAGTTGTGAAAAGGGGGTGGGGAGAGAAGGGGGTGAGGCAAGTGGGGAAGAGGAGATTGGGAAGGAAAGGGTTGGGGGGGGGGGAAGTGGGGAAGAGAACATGGAGAAATTTATAATAAATTTTACTTTGTGCTGATCTATTTTAATGACTCAAAATTGTAGGAAAAATATTTATTACATCTTGAGCTTGTTAATCAACAATCAACTATCTTTGGACACTTCAACGTTATAATGCAGAATCAATTGAAAGGTTGTTTAAGACTAAATATCATTGTTTGTGGTATAAATATGATTGTTGTCAG